TACAGTTCATATATTCATGCTGAATGGGCTACTTTTGATAAACTATTGAGAGGTGACAAGAGGTTTGATGGAAAAGTCAAACGTTACAAGCAGAAGCAGGCACAGATGGGAATATTTGCTAATGTAAGTTTATGTGTACATATGCACATTGTACACAACCTTTGATTCACATGTACATGTATGCATATTTTTACACATTTAAGTTGGGCTTAATGCATGTACAGTAATTGCATATGCACATGTACATGTACATGTAGTGTACATGTACATGTATTACATGTATGTGTGTTTACATTATTTATTTATTTATTCTTTCTTCAGATTGATGATGAGCCATTCAATCCTGATTATACAGTAGCTGATAGGATATTAGATCTAGCATCTCAAGTTGAATCTTCCGGAGAAGTAAGTACATGTACATGTACATATACTTAAGTGTGAGGATATACAGATACATGTACATGTACACATGTATATGTAATTCCATAGCCTCAAAACTTTTCTAAAACTATAATTACCAATCTTTTTAAAAAGTAATTTGTCAAAATTTGCATTATCTCATACATTTACAGTACATGTACATGTACATACTGTACAACATGTACATGTACATGTATACATGATGTTTCTGTTGATAGAAAGTGATACATTATCTTGTCAAGTGGAAGTCATTGCCTTATGAAGACAGCACCTGGGAGTTAGAGGTTAGATGAATAATCACACAGTACAGTATTATTAATTAAACACTATTTACACGTCAAATTACATGTAATTAATGCATGTAGGGATTACTTTGTTTATAGTAGATGTACATAATATATCATGTTCATGTAACATGTACACTGTATGTACATGTACATTACTTATTAATTAAATATTAGGAGAATGTTGATGTTGGAGTTATTGAGAAGTTTCTACAGTATTCTACAATGCCACCAGAGGAAGAATTACAAGTGAGTCACACATGTACATGTACATGTACATGTACATGTACACAATGTACATTACATGCATATTTTTAGTACATGTACAAGGTCTACACATGTTTTGGAAAACTCGTCAAAAATTGTTCGGAAAAATTCTTCATTTTTATTGTATATACTGTACATGTACATGTACATGCATTATTACGTACACATGTAGTAAACTAAACATGTTCATGTATTTTTAACTTTAAACTTAATTTCTATTTTATTTCCACTGTAGTACATTCGCCGACCTCCTCCCAATAGATTCAAGCCAATTAAAGAGTCCAGTCATTATAAAGGGGACAATCTTCTCCGCCCCTATCAATTAGAGGGTCTTAATTGGCTACTGTTCAACTGGTATACTAGACAGAACTGCATACTAGCAGATGAAATGGGACTAGGAAAGACTGTACAGTCTATTGCATTGATACTAGAGATAATTGTAAGGAGGAGAGAGGGAGAGGGAGGGAGGGAGATAGAGGGGAAGGAGAGAGAAAGAGAGGGAGGGAGATATGAGAGGGTACATGTACATGTACATGTACGCAGAGCCTGAACTTACATTTAAACATTTGCTTAGTCGACAAACTTAGTTCAAACATTTGCTTGCTTAGTTATCTAAACATTTGCTTAGTTTGTTCTGCCATTTGGTTGGACAGGATTAATTGATTATTACATGTGTACATGTACATGTATGTACATGTATTAAACTTTTATATCATTATTTCTAAGAATTACATGTATGTTGTTTGGACAAAATGGCAGAATAAAGCAGGATTTTGTTGGTCGAAAAATGTCTGATGTTTGACTGTTTACTGTATAGCGGGTAATTTTGGAGGGGCTAAAATTTGGTGAATTGCTAAATTTTGGTGATTGGCGGATTTTTAATTTGGCGAATTTGTGGCCACGTGCCATTGAGCATGTGTATAATAGCTCAAAATGGTGGATTTTTATTTTGGTGAATGGCTATCACAACACCAAATTCGCCAAATTTAATCCCCTCCAAAATTACCCGCTATATGGTATGTGATATATTAATTTAATACTGATTTCTTTTGTATTTACTAGGATGCTGGTATAAGAGGTCCATTCCTGGTCATTGCTCCTTTATCAACAATATCAAACTGGCAGAGAGAGTTTGAGACTTGGAGCAATCTCAACGTCATCATCTACCATGGAAGGTAAAGCAATAATAATATTAATTACATGTACATGTACATGTATTTAATGTACACATGCATACATGTACATGTATGCATGTTCCTTTGTTCATGTATACATGTATACATCTGTATTGTCACTTATGATAAAATACCGTAAATCTTTAAATAGAAGCCGCATTCGAATAAACGCCAGGGTAGCAATAAAATTAAACTATAAATACGCAACATTAGCCTAGGAGTGACTCAGTAGTCTAGTGGATAATGCCTGAAGTTCCAGAAGTCAAAAGCATGAGGTTACGGGTTCGAACCCTGCTCTGGGCTGAAGTTTTTTTTATTTTTTATATATTTTTTCGAGATCCAAATACCATTTTAGCAAATAGACGCCCGGGCTTTTATTTAAGGAAATACGGTACATGTACATGTAGTATGCTTAAGACTTTATAAGTTTGTCTGGGTTGTGAATTATGGGTTCAAAATCAAGCCTCTCTTTTTACAATTTTTTGGCATTTTGTTGGTTCTGATAGTTTTACTTTTACTAGTTTTTTAATGATTGACATGTGCTTTACATTAAGTTTGGCTCATAATAATTGAATTACATGTACATGTACACTTATCATTTTCTCTCTCCCTTTTCATTGTATTCTCTTCAATTTTTCTTGTTTTTCTTCATTTCTTTTTTATGATTCTTTCCTCTTCCAGTGCTTACAGTCGTAGGATGATACAAGAGTATGAACTGTATTTTCGTGATCAATCAGGAAAGATCATTATTGATGCATACAAGTTTAACGTCATCGTCACTACTTATGAAGTTTTGCTCTGTAAGCCACACCCACAATTAATTAATAACCACACCTTTACTGATACTAATTTTACTTGTATTATACATGTACATGTATTTTAAAATGGTAAAATCAAAAAAATTATAAAAATTTGAAAATAAAATTTAAATTTGAAAAATTAGGCAATTTTAATTTCCTCCCCTACAAAATTTATTTCAAAAGCGTAAATTTGACTGTGCATATACTAGCTGTATCCAATATTAGCATGTACATGTACATTTATGTGTAATATGTATTCTTGTAATCTGTTTTAGCTGATAACAGTGAGCTAAAGAACATCCTATGGAGAGCAGTGATCATTGATGAGGCTCACAGACTGAAAAATAAAAACTGCAAAATGTTGGAAGGACTCAGAGAACTACACATGGTAAGTACATGTACATGTACATGTACATTTCTATACATTTAATATAATTTTATAATATAAGCTGATTCCAGAATTAGATTTTTAATTGATTTTTAAAGCTATGGCTAAATTTCTTGTACTTATAGTGTGCCATTTTGGTCAATTTTTGCCAAAAATTGAAAATAGAGAATTCTCTTTTTTATAATTTTTCCTAATGCATATACATGTTTTTATGTAGCGTAGAAAGTTTGAGTTGATTCCAATCAAAATTTAAATTTTTACAAATTTTTAAAGTTGCTTCAAAATTGGGTCAAAGTCCCTGTACTATAGTACAGTGATTTTGGTCAAATTTTGCCAAAAAATGAAAGGAGAAAATTCTTCATTTTTATAATTTTTCCTGATGCATATACATGTTCTTATGTTGCGTAGAAAGTTTGAGTGGATTCCGATTAAATTTCAAATTTTTTTGATTTTTTAAAGTTGATCAAAAAATGCACATGTACATGTACGTGTAAGTTGCATTAAAGCTCTGTACATTCCTAATGTGCCTTTGTGCTGTTCTAGGAGCACAGGGTGCTATTGACTGGTACTCCTCTTCAGAACAGTGTGGATGAATTGTTTAGTTTGTTGAATTTCTTGGAGCCATCACAGTTTCCCTCATTACAGTTATTCCTCCAGCAGTTTGGGGATCTTAAAACTGAAGAACAAGTTGAAGAATTACAAACTGTGAGGAATACACACACACTTTTAATTGTATATTCTTATCCTAATTTTACTGAGTCTTGAGGTGATTTTTAAATTACTGACACATACATGTACATGTGATTCATAATACATGTGTACATGTACATGTACTTGCTAAAAATTAATTTATAGAGCCTACAATACATGTACATGTACAGTACATCAAATTAGTACACACAACTTTAATGCAAACTTCTACTCTTCAAAAATCTTATTTTTTAGCTTTCTTCCCTTGTAATCTCTCTTTTTGAAACAACTTACTCTATAGATGTGTCCTTTTGTGATGTTTGCATTACATGCTAAACTACTGTATTAATGAATTTTTAGATATTGGATCATTATTTTATGTACATTTCCTGTTCTAGGTTCTCAAGCCAATGATGCTTAGAAGACTCAAGGAAGACGTTGAGAAGAGTTTAGCACCAAAAGAAGAGACTATCATTGAGGTAAACACTTATTTACATGTACATTAATTTAAATATAAATATGTGTACAATATGTGTACAGTACCTAGCAGACATGGTGTTACATTTTGTATACACGTCAGACAAGATCTTTATCTTGCAAGCGCTGCATCTCATTATCAGGGCAAATGTGCGCTTCTATGTATATACATGTATATGTAAGGTAGTACTGCTTTTTAGTTCTTCTCTTTGTCATATCTTTACTGTGACTCTTGTGATTAAGTCACAGAAGAGTAAGGCCTCCTAAATGTTGATTAATAGTACAGTGTATGTAGGTATAAGGAAAGTGATGATGTTATAGCGACCTCTTTGGAGCAATTCCTGTGCCATTTCTGAATCCAGTACACCTTTATCACTCTATCAAAGTCAGCCAATGCAGACTAACTTGAAGCTGGTCCTTTGTATGAATAATGCAGCATAACTTACATGTACTGTACATGTACATGTATACTGTCAGCCCTGCACTGAGCCCATGCACTCATCAAGTCAAGAGACATTATTTCAAGGACTCAAAGCACTAGCTACTGTATTCCAAGAGTTTGCATATTAAAAACACACTTCCTGGAATAGTTGGTTCAGCAGTTTAACACATTGACCACAGACTGATGATTGTATAGTGTGGATTGGTTGTTACTGATGTAGTGCAAAGAACAGAACAGTTCAATAGTAATAAACACAGACTCACACATGCTACACAATAAGTTTAAAAATAATTAAAATACTGTACATTATTATCAGGGAGAAGTTTATGTCAGAGCAAATATAAACTGGAACCAGAAAGAGATTTTAAACTGTAAAGTTAAGAGTAAAGACATACATTAAACTATCATGTTTAGATATGGTATGCATGTACATTGTACTTACAGTTATATTACTGTGTATGTTACTGGTTGAACACTAGTGGGTGGACACTGTGATCTACTGTCCTTAGGGACTATCATTACATCAGCATAAAGCAGGACCTTATTAGCTGATTCAACCTAACACCATTTCAATATACACTATGCAATTATGATGTTTTCATAATGAGACTTTCTTTATTTTTGAATTGTAAGTCCCAATTAACATATTATTTTGTATATCTATGCTTTTGAACACTTTCTTGAGAAAACAATGAAATACATGTTCTCCCAAATTGTAGTATATGAGAGCATACCGTATAGCGGAAAATTTTCGTGGCCCAAAATTTTCGCGGATTTCGCGTTTTTTTCAAAATCCACGAAAATAAAATCCGCGGAAATTGATTTTATACGGTTTAAGATGGCCGAATTGTAGAAAACCACGAAAATTAAAGCCACGAAATTGATTTTTGGACGGATCCACGAAAGTTTTGGACCACGAAAATTTTCCGCTATACGGTACAATACATTAGTCCTCTTATAATAGTATCATCATGAACTGTATTTAAGCTATGAACCTTTTGATTCCCAAAGCTCTTATGTATATACCCAAGATTTGAATACATGTACTTACCGGCACTTGATTTCTATTGACTGTGGAATAAACAGGAGCAGTGTTGAGGTGGAGTAATTTGGTACATGAGCATGTACTTCAGTGTACTTAAGTTCATTGACATATACATACATGTACATGCATTTTGTAGAATTGTACTTATACTTGAGTCTTTTTTAGTTTTATGTGCTTGTACTTATCATCCAAGCATCATTGCATCACTCAAAGGAGTCCTACTAAATTCCACTCTACTAAGCCTAGGACTGAAGAAGTAGTTAGTCTAGTTAGTGGTTACCATGTCTATGGTAGGAATATAGCTTATCTACATATAAATCTAGCTCGCCATTTAAGTATTTTCTGCTCTAAGGATTCCTGTCTGTTCATCTCCTATTGTCACACATGCATGTATGTGTATGTGTATGTACATGTACATGTACCATTGTTGGGTGTACATGTACTGTAAATTTGTGAGTCCGTATTTGCTACAGCGCACCCTGCTACCATATTGCAGCAAAGGTACCAAGAAATACCAAACTGGGGAGTTAGTGAATGATGATGGAACATCCACATTATTAGTTGTAAGAGTACTAGTTGTTTATTAACTATTGCCATGTAACTTTAAGTAGATGTAGTTGTCAGCACTTTGAAACACTGTTTTGATGCCAGCAATCTGGCAATACTGCTAAGGAACTAAAGAATTGAGTATTAGAATTGTCCATCACTGCTGTAAGGTATTTTATAAAGATGTCTCACAGAGAAATCTCTTACATCTAATGTTATTTGTGTTTTCGGAGCTAATTCCAATCCAAATTGGGAAATCTGATTGCTGCATAATGCACATAAAATGTACTAATAATTTTTCAGATATTCTGTAATTTTGTACAAGCTTAATTTAGGAATATTTATGCATGTAACTTAAAAATAATTTGAAATAGTTTACAATAACATACAAAATTACAATAAAGAAATTTTATTACTGAATTGAATACTGGATGTCATCATTTCTATTCCTGTTATATTGTTCCTCTTGTTCCATGTATCTCTGATAATGATCATCAACTATCTGAACAATATTAACTTCATTCTCTCTCACACGATACTTGTAACGTTTAGCCAGTATCACAAACACTATCAGTATGATAAGAACTAGTACACTCTTTGTTATATAATAATAGAAACTAGTACACATGTACGGATTCTCACAATCAAACAGAAACTTAGCAACAATGCTGTTTAGATAACTAAGCCCCCAAGCAGTAGCATACCACAATCCAACCATCACTCCTCTCATGTGTACTGGAGACTGAGCTACTGCAAACTCCAGTGATACTGGATAAAATAGTATAAAAGTAAGACCTTGGATAGTTTGTGGAATAAAGAGCAGTTTACTAAAATTGTTTATGTCAGGATGAGACCTCTCAGGATGAGACCTTTTAATGACAAATATGATCACTTCAGAAACTGTAACAATGAAAGCAAGGAAAATACCAACACTCATTCTAGTCAGCATACTGGGAATATACTTGTAGAAACAAACTCTGATAAAGAATAAATAAACTAACATTAGAATGACTGAACATAAAGAATACAGACTTCCTGTTACTGCTAAGCAAGTTGATAATGTGTAACTATCAAAAACAGGTGAATAGCTGTCATCGCAGCAATTAAGTGCAACAAAACCAATGAATAATGGTAGCATACGGAATACTGTCTTCACATCTTCTACCTCTTCCTCTGTGAATGGTCCACCATATTTATCCTTACCCAGGTCTAGTCTTGAAGGAGCCTCTTCCTCCCAGTAGGTCAGAGCACTACGATTCTGAGTATACTTGTGCTTCCTGGCATAACACAATACTCTAACTATCAGTTTGATGGGATTCTTGATGAGTGATATGTTCTCCAGTTTGTGTTTGAAGAATGAATGAGACACCAGTACAAGAGATACAGATACACCTGAGGCTATGAAAGTGATTATGAAAAAATACTTGCTACTATAAAATAAACATTGAAGAAGGTAATAAAACAAGTCCACTAATGGTTGGGATAGTATATGCCAGTATATGACAGAACTCAGTTCATCAGCTGAAGCTCCAACAAGTTGATCAATGTTATACTGAATAATGTTAGCATAGAAGGTAGAATAACCACTAACATGTATGATATAAGCAACACTGTAAAAACTCCATAGCACTGTTTCTGAGGCAAAGTAAATTTCAGCAATCAATCCAATGCCTGTTATGATCCATCCTATAAAACACAATACTATACCAATCAGTATAGCTTTGTATCTTCCAATCCATACATCAGCTAACAGACCAAATAAAGGAAAGGAGGAATAGCTAAAGCATATTAAAATGACTAACCAAGTCACATACCAAATAGGAGTATCAAACGAAAGAACTTCAGTAGCAAAACCACTAGTAAAACGACTAAACAAGAAATAATGAGTGTATATGAGAAAGTTCCATATGAGAATCAAGACTGCTGGAGGAGATATGAGAAGAATAGGTTGACATTTGCTTACAATGTAAGCTCTAACTGTAGACATGATACAGATCTATAGCGACTGAAGTAAGTGAAAGTGATAATCAACAAACAGTTGCTCTTGTACCTTACGAAGGGTAATGTTGTGATAACATTTCTATGTAAAACTTTTTATTCAGAACAATAACACAGAAATGGCAACAACATTTAAATGATATTTCATTGAAGCACCATTTTAAAGATGATATTGTTCACTGTATTGTGCAAAATTTTCAAGGGCTGTAAATCTTACGAATTCGCCCAAAAATTTACGTTATTAATTAATTTTTTTTTTTTAATTGCACTCAGTCTTGTAACATTACAAATTGAATTTAGATTTAATTTTTGTGAAAAAGAATTACACAATCTGTGAAATTTACATACATGCAGCCCTTAAAAATTTGGTGCTGTACTGTAAAGATTGTAATTCATATTATACATGTAGGTACGTGCATGGTTAGCTATGTAACTTAGTCTAAAGCAGTCGTTAGTATCATTGTAGTGTGCAAAACTAGAGAGATTCTTGTTCAGTAGTAGCTACCCAAACTAATAGTACTACACATGTAAAATGCCTGATCTTGTCAGTTATTATTAGTAGATTAAAGTGATGAACTCCTCACACTTTAAAACAGAGTATCAAATGTTCTAATTCTATTACCGATCATATACAAATCTAAAAACAATTATTAACATGTAAGTTTTCATTTTTATCTCATCCTGTTTCTTCTTACCAGTATAGTTGATCTAGCAAACTGTCACCATAATTATTGCCATAACTATAATCAAAGTACATGTAGGCTACATCTCATTTTGATTACAGTTTCTTAGTGTAAATTGAAATGATAGCAACAAATCTCAATTTGATTACAATTTTTGCAGTTTAAGCACCCAGGTTAAATGAAGTTAGTATCCATGAACTGTTCTCCACATATCTATAGGGTTGGTCTGCAGGTGTGGCATTGCTTTTAGCACATTGTGTTTGCTTTTGTTGCAATCACACTGCTTTT